TTTAGGTGTTATAGAGAGTGTAAAATTCTCCCGAACATTGCCCATGCTCAACATGCTACCGAATCTGGAACAAACCAGATAAATACTCCTCTCTTTATGACCCTTTTATAGCCTCTCCCAACTTATTTATCTTTGTCCTTCACCGTAGAAGTCTCTGGACGCTCCTTCCAAATGTTGATGCAAAGCAAAAAAAAATTATGTGAAACAAAAAAGGTAAATGAAAAACACCGTGACACGCCCCAGCGTATCGCTACAACGACTCTATTGCAAAAAAACAAGACGTCGAGTTGCTGAATTTGGTAGTACACTTTGATGTTAGAACTCCTATACACATCGATATAGGTCCATGACACGTAGCACAGACAATTTTTGAACCTAAGAGAGGTGAAAATAGACATGAAGGAATGACAAAGAGAGAGAAAAGAAAAAAGAAATTGTGACGGTTAAAAGAATGAAAAAAAAACTGTAGCCCAACAGTAATACATCAGGTCATTATACCCTGATTTATGCATCCGTGTTTTTCTCGCCTGGCTGTGTAAGAGAACTCGCTAGAGGCATGAAATATTCACTCGCCTCGAGGTCGCCCATGCTTTGCTTTCTGCTTCCACCATTCAAGGACGTTTTTGTTTGCTTTTTGGAAAATCCCAACAGCTTAGTTCTTTCTGCTAGGAGAATTTTATGGGTGCTGAGGGTCTGTGCAAGCACTCTTCTAATAGCAGGAAAATGCTGCGTTTAGGACGTGATCAAGAAAAACGTTCTTTAGAACTTGGCGTTTCCTTACAAACTTACTGTTATGCGACGTCTCATTTACCATACCATTGTGACCAATATTTCGTTTTAGCGGAAACTATAAAAAACTTCATCGCATCGTGCTGTGGGCCGTTGCAGCCTAGCCGCTTCTTGGCATAAAATGCGAATATTTTGTGGCATTACCTCCGGAAGGCTGCCAGGCATTTTTTATCGTTTAGCTTTCTTCAGCGAAAAGTACTTTCATCATCATCATCATCATCATCAGCCTGACTACGTCCACTGCAGGACAAAGGACTCTCCAATGTTCCGCCAGTTAACCCGGTCCTGTGCTTGCTGCTGCCAATTTATACCCGCAAACTTCTTAATCTCATCTGCCCACCTAACCTTCTGTCTCCCTCTAACCCGCTTCCCTTCTTAGTACTTTATCTTTTAGCAACCTCCTCGCCGCCCACTCTCCCGCCCGCCTGATCACTCACTCACTCACTCACTCACTCACAAACATGTTGTTCATCGAATCAAATCGCTACTTTTTCCCTCTTCCCAAATGGTACTCGACAGAAGGCCACCGAACAGTGTTGTCAAGCACAGCTAAAGATACATCATTACAAACCGTTTTGTAGCAAACGCCTTTAGATAGCTTCACAAAGATCAATACCCGGTCAGTACACTGGATGCGTGTATTTTCCGGCTCGTCGTCTTGGTTTGTTGCTCACCTATCAACGAATGATACCGACGTAGACCAGATATTCCACAGTTTGTGCAACGTCATGCTCGAATGCCTTAGACCTATTATCGTTACTTAGGTTAACGAGCTGGCCGAAGCAATTACTTCCATCGTGCTTGCGTAGAAGCAACCGTCAGACTAAATGTGCCTGGAAAGCACTTCCGCCTATCAGCCCATTACTGTGGCACAGAAGCCGACGTGCTTAACTTATGGCGAAGAATGCTCGCATCGCGTTTGCACCAAGCAGAGGGTCGCTATACCTGTTAACTGGCCATAATCATCTCTCGGGCTATGAAAGAGAACAGGCTCCTGTGTCCGCGACTGGCGTCGTTGGACTCAAGCGTATTTCGTCCCAGTTTTCTATCACGTGGCAGACCAAAACATATCTTACCATGCGACTGAATTCGGATTATGAAAGCAGGGTATAAGCAACCTTGTTTAGTTAAGACCAGACTAATAAACATGTTCTATGTCATTGACTATCGACCTCGCTATTAGATCACACAGGGGCTCAAAAGAACAGACTGATGGGCTACACTTAGAAAAAGAAAAAGAAGAATGGCTATGTGTCACTCTGTTCAGTGAGTACTTTGCGCATATATGACTCTCCTTGAAAAGACACTTGAACTCGTTTCTCGGTCACACGACTTTCGAAAAAGAGTACAAGGATATCCAAAAGAGAGTTCACATGTCATTTTAAAGAAAGTCATATTACGTGACAAGTCAGGACTTGGAAGAGCGAGTCAAATTACTCTTTGTTTAAATAGTAGATGGTAGGACATAATTAATCCAATAACTAATTCTTACACTTGCGCTGTTCTTGCGTGTGTTTTTTTACGTTATTGTATATATATATGATTAATGAAGCAGTCACGTTCTTCATTCAAACTGACTCGAAACATTGCGGCGAGCAAGCGCTTTGATGATGGACGATTCCGGAGTGCTTACCTAAACTTTAATCACCTAGCAACTTCATCGATCCATCACCCTTGCAGTGGGCACACATGGCGCTCACTGTAGCTCTGAATTCTTAAACGTTCCCGAGACGTCTTCACAGCATAGCGTACGCCGACAAACATTATGGCTCGATGAAACTCGAAGTTAACATTTGAATTTTCGATTTTCGTGCCAAAGCATCATAAGAGCTTGATGACGTAAAAAATAAAAGAAAATGAGCTGCAAACGACGAGAGCTGATTGTGGAGTGCCGATCGCAAAAATATTGATGGGTGGGCGTAAAACGCGACAGAGCCCCACGCTAAAGCACGTGTGACGTTGTGCTCAGGTTGTGTTGACGTTGACGTTCGGACGCGGACATTGGACATTTAACAAAAAGCTGCTTCGGCACCTTTAGAGTTTCAACGCGACACCGAGCAATAAATTATGAATGAGGGAATGTGATACACGACGCGCGACGAATTCTTTCCTGATATGGAAGACTTCCAACTGCACCGCGTTAAATAGAAATGGCACTCACGAGAAGCAGTTCTGGGCAACCTTCGCAAGGCTGGAACTGCCGGCAGCACACACACATCCTTTTCCTCCTAACAGGACATTCGAGTTTTCAATACATTTAAAAAAATCACATTTTGCACAATAACGTGAAGCCTGGGTATCTTAACGAAACAAATGACGAGATACTATTTGAATTTGTCTTGCTTAAATCCACAATAAATTGTTGCTTTATCGTCGTCATTGTCTACATAGTTGTCTTTTTCACACGCTCGAACACCTCGTTTTAAAGACTCTCACCGTTGTTGACATCAGCATAATTATGCGAAGCTTCGGTACTCCTTCACGTTCTGCATGTAAAGAAATCAAAATATTCAAAATGGGTGCTCTCATATTGATTTTTAAAAAGCTAAACGCTTGACTAAAGCAATATGACTGAACTTGGCTTTGTCGCATGCTGTTTGCTGTGTCATTTACAATGTACATTTATTTCTGAATGGAAATTCCACGAGTGCAGACTGCAACTTACGCGGCTGCGAGGAGATGATTGAGCATAATTCATACCCATCCTATCAAACTCAACTACATGTTCTGAAAGCTCAACTTCATTTCTCTGATGCCAAACAAGTTCCCGAAAACTATATCCTGGGAGATTGGTCTACGGTTGAGTATACGTGCATAGGGCCACGGAAGCCCATTGTGATACCTGAAGTCGAGCAGACTGAAGGAGATTTATGATTACCGGAGTCCATCTGTGTTGCGTGTGTTCACGCTGACCGTTCCATTCTTCTTTTTTTTTTCACTCATATCTATCTTGCCAACTACTACTCCTTTTTCCCACACCACAGTGTAGGGCAGCCAACCGAGCCTGTGCTTGGATAATCTTCATTCCTCGTTGTCAATATACCTTCCCGAAGCTTCCTTCCTTTCTACGTCGGAAAAGCAGCGAGGTTATTTTCAATGTGTTACACGAAGTGTCTTCTCAAATAGATGCGCTACAAGAAAGCACACTCCAAACCATCGTTATAGATAAAAGTGCGATGCATACACAGCTGCCGTCTTCAATGCAGTTTATCAAGTTCTTATTACTTTCGTCCTTAGTTATGCACCTAAACCTGTTTTGTAATAACTACTGACCATGCTTAATCTGTGTTAGCCGTGTATACCGGCACGTTTATTAGGAAGCGTAAATACACGTCTTTTTTTACTATTGCCACGCTTGAAGGAGACCGTCAAAAACTGAAAGGGGCTGTTTATGAGTTTGTGAGGGTGAGCTCAGAAGAGGCTGACTAGATAGGGATCCTCCTGAATCTCCTTTTCCTGCCAAACTTAGAACGGCAAGTATTCGTGGTCTTCGTCCATGTGCGCAACACTATAATAAAAATCGAGTATGATCACCGCTTGAATGGCCGTTCTTGGCGATCATTAAGCAGCAGTGTGCTTAATTTATTAGGCTTTTCACAAAGCTGAGAGTGCCATATTGTTCGGCCCTTACGAAAAGTTATTGTTAAATTAGGAAATAGAGACATTTATTATAACCTATTCGCATAACAAGGAGGGATAGGAATAATTCATTCCCACCTTTTCTCTACCCGCAGGTCGCGGGTTCGTATCCCAGCTGCAGCGGCTGCCTTTCTGATGGAGGCTGAAATGCTGTAGGCCCATGTGCTCAGATTTTGGTGCACGTTAAAGAACCCCAGGCGGTCGAAATTTCCGGAGCCCTCCACTACGGCGTCTCTCATAATCATATGGTGATTTTGGGACGTTAAACCCCACATATCAATGAATCAATGAATCAATCAATCAATCAATCAATCACCTTTCCTCTACATAACGCAGTTAGAAGCTCCCGTACTGTGCGATGCCAATGAACGTTAAAGAAGAAGAGGTGCTCGGTATTTTAGGAGCTTGTAATTGCCGTGGGTTTCATAGACACACTGTGATTTTGACGCATAAAACGCAAGATGTTATTTGCATATCCCTTCAGATGAGAGGCATGGTCGTACAAACAATGAAACCATCGAGATCAATGAAAGGATGTATATAGGTAGCACTAAGAGAGAATTGATACGTACCGACTACGACGAAGCGGACCGTGGAATTACGCTCGCTGCCATTGGCGAAAAATGCCGAGCACACGTACAGTCCGGCGTCCGCAGCAGTGACGTCTCCAATTATGAGCAGCGCTGGTTCATCGGCCGACGAGAAATAGGCGCGTCCGGCCCATAGGTGTGCCGGTCGGTGCCTGGCCTGCAGGAAGTTCTCCGAGCCCATGTCGACCGTGTAGACGGGCACAAAGAGGCCACGCTTGAACCACGACACGGACACGGCCCAAGAGTCTGTCGTGACGTGTCGGAGCTGGCACGGAAGTGCAGCGTCACCACCCACCCGGCTCGTCACCACTGTGGGGCCAGCAGCATCTTCTGCGGTGTTGCAAAACAAGCAGAACAAGATGTGATTTCTTTTTTGGGGTTTGTTCACAATAAGATGTAAAGAGATATGAACATACAAAAAAGGTCAGTTTCAATCAACATTTCAGCTTGACAAAGTGCTGGCGTAAGAAATTGCAGCCTCCACAGCAAACGAAGCGTCCTTCGTGCTTTCCGAGGCCCCAAGAAAACTTCGCGATTAGAACACAAGTAGGAATGTATAAGCCGACTGCTAATCCCTGGCAAACATTCCGGCGCGCATATCTTGGCAGGCATCAACCGAAATCGCTGTAGAGTGATCATGCATGCCCTTTAGTTGGGGCCTAGGCTCCGAAAATTTGATGATCTGGTGTTTTTCTTTTTTACGCGCACTGGCATAACGCATTACGCAGGTCTGTAGCATTTCGCTTTATTGCGATGCGGTGGCCATGGCTGGATCGAACCCACAAATTTTGGGTCAGCAGCCAAGCACCGTAACTATATATACTATACCACTACGGTGACTTTCCCCGTTTCTCCCTAGCTTTAGATGACTTCATTCGTCACAAGGTGTATAGGAAAGGTACTGTTGGGTATTAGAGCAAATCAAAAATCGAACAAAGATATCACCAGGAGCTTTCCACGAAGCACAGGATGCATGTGAAAGTTTAGAAGGTAACGTTATCACGCTGGCTTTATTGGCCTGCATACTCAAGAGTTTCTTGCGTAGCTATGTAGTGCATATAAAGAAATTCGTAAATTAAGCTTGGTGTGCTCAAGCTGTTGTTCCAATAAAAGGACTTGTCTTCTTCAAGGCTTGAACTCAACCGGCCTTAGCCTTGGAGAAGCACACGTTCACTTGTTGGACTATCGGCTGAATCACACAACTTCTGTATATGAAGTTTTCGCAAGGCAAGTTTTCATCTTCCCGATTTCTGCAGTTTTTAGGCAGAGCATAAATATTTACTTTCCTCACAAACTGTTCGAATAACGTTTTATAGGTCTTATTTTATGGTCACCTAACGCATCTGCGTATAAGTAGTCTGTTCGGTTGAAGCAGCAAGTAATCGGTGACATTTTACAGTGAGATATTCTCGTAATTAAAAACCTACAGGAAATATGCTGTCTGACGAATGATAAAATGAATGAGTCCGAGAGAAATCAGATGCGAAAGAAACAGTAGAATATGTATACCTATTATTGCTCATTGATGAACCTTGCAGTAGCTCACACTCTAAGAAAGCTGCCTTCCATGTTGGCAGCGTAGTATACAAAATGAATAAATAAATGAATAAATAAATAAAATAGTCCATTGATAAGGACCATGCGCTAAATTTATTTCAAGTCTTGAAAGCTTGCTCTGAGAACTAGAAGTGCTGGCAACAACGTTTCTCATATATTGCGGTTCGAAAATGCTGTAGGCCCATGTGCTCAGATTTGGGCACACGTTAAAAGAATCCCAGGTGGTCGGAATTTTCGGAGCCCTCCAATTTGGCATCTCTCATAATCATATGGTGGTTTTGGAACGTTAAACCCTGCAGTTAAATTAATTATATCAATCATATATTGTGGTCCCAAACTTCTCGTTTGCACAACTTTTCAAGAAAGACTGCTGATTGATTCGATCTGAAGCGTAGGCAAATTGTTTACCATATGTTACGATTGCAGCACTTTCCCTTCGTTTTCTTGACTCTCTACCAAGCTATACTTTAAGGGTTTTTGGGACAATGCTAACCCTAACAGAGATAGGAATGCTGCTTTTTCTATGGTAAAGAAATGAGCGACTATCTAGAAGTGTTGATCTAATACTTTTGTTGGTGTATGAAGTAAATAATGCGATTTCCTTGTTGTAGCATTCAAAAAAGGAAGTAAGCCGTGCTCAAAAGGAAGGACCTTTTTAATGTTACTGGCACATGTTTTTTAATTCTAAATGGCAAACGATGCCATGCATATACGTGTGTAACATCAAGGTGATTATAAATTTTTAAAATAAGGGCTCTGACCTAAACGTAACGTCCATGCAAAGTTCCATAAGCAAGCTACGTTGGCGCAGTATCTCAGGTAGAGCCATTTATTCCAAGCACAAATAGTCCTCGCTAGCCGTCAGATATTTTCTTTCTCAGAAGAAGTGTGGCTCGTTTTTATTCAGAGGGGCATTTTGCACAGCAACACACGTAAAGAACTATTTGAGACATATTTATTAACACTGACAGTTGGGCGAGTCGCTGTTGGTTCATAGTTATGGCGCATGGATGGATGAAAAACTTTATTGGGGCCCTGAAGGATTCCACCCCGTTTTATAGGGGTAGGATCGCGGGCCGCTCCCACGTGTAAACGGGGAGAAATAGCCTCACCGCCGCATCGTGGGCCTTCTGTTCAGCCTTGACTTGTATGAGAACCGGACCCCTGAGCATTGAATGAAAGCAATTTTCAGAAAATTTTTCATTTTTTTCTTGCAAATAGGGGCACCTCCAGAGCATGTGGCTAAAATCACTACGATTGCGGCAGTCCGGACAAAGTTCTGAAATATCGGAGTAATGGCTATAGGTTACGAGGCTGTAAGGGTATGTTCCCGTCTGAAGCATGCGAAGAGAGATTGCCTGTGGCCTGGACAACTTTTCGTGTGGCAATGGAAAATACCTATGGCCTAACATATAGTGCTTCGTGATCTCGTTGACGGTATTCAAAATGTCCCTAAAATGAAGGTTGGGGAATGATTCTCTGTCTGAGAAGTACAAGTCCCGGCGCGGCTCACTACGTGAAGCTTCGCATTTTGGAGTAGGGCTATCTCGTTGACATTGGGTAAGGCCCCCGACCTTCAAGCCAAGGTGAGCAGGGCAACGAAATAATAGTGTAGTGGGCGAGTTCTTTGTGAACGGAGAGTTCTAAAAACTTCCTTGCACACGAAACCAGAAGCGATCGGCCCTAGCAGCGGATTTAGAGTCAGCTATAAATATCAGTCCTTTGTGGATCAAGGAGAGCTAGTACAATGGCCATCTGTTCTGCTTTCTAAGAAGGAGTGGTTTGAACCGATGCTGAGGATGATATCTGACCCTTAGTATCTACTGATACTACTGCAAAGTGAGCGGAAACGCCGTACTGGGCGGCATCAACAAAGCATGAAACAGACGAGTGTTTGTGAGCTTGAGGTTAAAGAGAGAAGGCTCGAGCGACACGCCTGCCCACGTTGTACTGTTGATTCATATTTCGTGGAAGGGGACGCACTTGGATGCGAGAGCGTATATATTCATCAAGGGGCGCATTTCGCACTTCGAGCGTCAGGGGGTTGACCCCAGTGTCAACCAGAATATTTTTCCCCGCTGGTGTGATCGAAAGCCTGGCAACCTGTGCCGCTTGTTGAGCCTCGATCACTTCTTCAAGCGTGTTGTGGACTCCAAGTTTCATAAGGTTTTCAGTGCTTGTGCGCATAGGAATGCCAAGAACTTTCTTGATGCTTTTCCTTATGAGGATGTTCATAACTATAATGGTAGTGGTAGTGGTTAGAAGATGAGAAAAGGCACCTAATTTATGCAACCCGGTCGGGAGCACGGCGGAGTGCCTAAACTATGAACGAGACATACATGATGCATAGGGGCGGAAAAATTGCTTTCAAAAGCCATTCAGAATTACATTTATGTGCCGCAGATCGTGTCATCGTTGAAAGTTGTGGGGGAGAGAAGAACATTGTATTTTATCCATGTCCGTGCTTATTTGATCATATTATACGTATTTAATTGGAATTGTCACATTATAACTGATGTTAATGAGAATTAACAGACAGTGACGCCAAGGAATGTATAGGGGACGTTATTCAAAGTGATCATAACGTAAATGTGAAGAAAGAAAAAGAGTATATAAGATACTTTGGCGTGGGTAAAAACCGAGCGTAACATGGAATAACGCGTTCGATGCTCTACCATGGAGCTATGGCGGCGGTCACACCTGCGTCAACTTTATAAGATTTATAATGTGCATTTAGGCGTAGAAGTGTCGCTCAACGCCGCCAGAAGCCACCACGACTGGTGTATCACACTATTTTTGCCTGTTAGCCTGAAGTATCACATGATCTTAGAACGAGCTGGCAGCTGACCATTACTCTCTCGCATGCTCCCTGAAGGCATCAAGTCTACATAATGTGGTTCACTCACTTTCATACCCAGACTGTACTTGTTGGGGTGCTTATTCACAAATTAAGTATCCTTGCAACAGTTCTGCTGCTCTGTTTCAGACAAAAACGACATTTTTAATACAGGTGAATGCCTTCACTGTTGTGTATATCTTGCGTTTCTTGGGTGGCTTCGAGGGCATACGTAACTCTACGGAATGTCGTAACAGCTGAGTCGAATTAACGACTTTGCTCCGACATTCAGAAGTGCTTTCTTAACTCAAGCTTCACGCACCAATCATGCAGATTATTGAACCATCAGCCTTTGTCATAGTCGTGTACTTTTACTCCTATTTTTCTGCGTACTTCAAACTGGCACGGGAAACGGCAGACACAGTCACGTAGAAAGGAATCCCAAGACGAACGCTGTCGCAGAGGCTTGCTCAGCTCTGTAGCTCACTGTTTTCCCCAGTAGATTCGGTCACCGATACACCCGAAACTTCTCGACTATGCGGTTTAGTTCTGGCAGATTCGTAAATAATGGCTCCCATCCGTAAACTCGGAACAAATCGATCGCACTGTTTTCTATTTAGCCAGCATCAACTATTTCACTGCGCACGGCAACCTTTCCAACTACGATCTTTACTATCTTGTCCTTCAACTTCTGCTATATAGTTCCAGTTTTACCCTTTCAATACCCACCGTCGCCTGACCTGCACTGCCCTTTTTCGTACCCACTCTCCAAGCGAGCGCTGAGTGCAAGAAAGGACGGAGGAAATAGAAGAGGGTGGGGATCGCAGCAAAACGAGCCGTGCCTTTGGGATAGTGCACAAGAGTCGACCATCATGCGCCACATTAGAGATAATTTATCACCCGAGTTTTACGAGCCGGGTCCTTTCTGCTGCTCCGT